TTCCGCTCAGTTCATTGTGACTCGACAATGAGGCGGAAGATCGCGGAACGCAGAAGCAGACGAATGGAAAATCGGAGGCAGAAACGCATGGCGTAAGGGAAGATACAGCCGACAGCGTCTCCCCATCCCAGCACGTAATTGCGCGGCGGATCCGTCGCGAGCGAGTACTCTCAATGTCGTCACTGTCCGATATCGCACTGCCCTCTTTGTCCTTATTCAGTACCATCGGTGCTGATCCCTCGTCGGTGTCGTGAGCAACGTACTGCCGGAATCTCAGAGGAAGGGTAATGAGTCTCGTGTCTATTGAAAATCCGCTTCCACCTGTTCATTGTCTCTAAATCTTTCCGATCGGTGTTCGGAGAATTTCGGGGGGCCTTAGATCAGATACCAGACTATTTGGATCGAGAATCTCATTTCGAGCGGAGAGTTTTCCGTCTTGTACGGAGCGTCTAATCGAACCCTCTCCTGAAATTCAACGACTCGCGCCGACGGTACGTTACGAGTCCCGGAGTTCTCCATTCGATCGATCAGTCCTAGAATCTGCTTGTATGTGAATGTCGACACGGGAAATGTCAGTCTCTCATCTGTGAGTGCGCTGTCGAACGGGTTAACTTCCCCTCTGGGCATGTAAACACGACCTTTCGCACTAGCTCGAATCTGATTAACGAGAAATTTTGCTCTTTGCGACAACAAGTCAGACGACGGCAACGCGGCGTAGTTCGAGTCGAGGCGATGATTACCGACGCGACTGTAAACACGATGAACTCGAGCGTATTTTTGAGTGCTTGTCCAGCGCTGTCCACAGAGACAGCATTATGTGTAGCTAGCGAGCCTGGCAGCACTGGCGGAGGATGAACGAATTTATATTCGTTGGCGCCCGTCACACGGAAAATACGTACATGGCACACCAGCGAGGATTCACGCTGCATCGTCCGCCGTGTTACGTAGCGCGGATTATTCTCATGCGATCTAGCTCTCATTGATGAATCACCGCGCTTCATCTCGAGTTGGGAATAGAGTGCCGGCCGGCTCGCTCCCCCTGGTACTTTGCCAGAGACGCTTGTTCGCGGTTTGCTGTTTCTCCCGCGCTCTCCATCGGAGGATGTTTTCGGAAGGGATTTCGTGACGCGGTCAGCCGAGTCCCTCCGCCAAGCGTGTTTGCCCAAGTAAGTAAAAGAGTGAGCTTGCTAGCTGGCGATCTAGTCGACGTCGCACGATGCTTTGGTTGTCATTCTGCTCGATTCATGCAGCGCGATTCATAAGCGAAGTGGCATGATAATGGAGTCGCAGGTCGCTCCAAAGAGGTCGAGATCGTAACTTGATTTCGAAGCTACCGATAGCAGCTCTCAGATATGGGTTCGCACGCGATTACCTGAGCTGAAGCGGCACGGCTCGGCGGCAGGGTAAATTGGTTGAATGGTCGGACGGCTGCTCTGTCGGGCGGTGGTTAGGGGACTCAGCGAGCTTCCAGTCGCGGAGTGTTACTCGGCACCCATCACGCCGACCACGATGATGATGCCGCCATCCGATCTAATAATAGTTTGAGAGACATGAGCTACCTAAATTCGGCGGAGAGAGAGCCACACTGGGATCAGGCGCTTCCGAAGTTCCCGGGTTTTCTGGTGTGATCTGAATAGCGGACCTTGTTACCTCGGACAATTGATTTCCGACTGTTTCAATAAATCCTTTCCGATCGCTCGCGTTTTGTTGAGGCGGTCATCTGTTCGTCCCAAACCGCTCACGGGAAACGGGAAGGCTCCACCCACTATTATTTCCGTCCGGGTATGCATACCAGGGAAGGGGGGCCTCGAAGAGTCGGTCCCGACGCTGAGGGCTTTAAGCGAGGTCGTGCGAGGCTCAACGTCGTGGTCACCCAGCACCGAATCGTCCTTCACGGCGCGGTGGGGCGCTGGACAATCGAGCAGGGTCCTTTATCTGCCCAAGGCACGGCACGGAGAAGGTCCCTGAGGACCTCGCCTTCAGCTAGCCGTGGTGGGCTTGGACGAAATCGAGCACTGTGTCCGGAGATCTGAAAATGGACCAATCTGAATGACGGAGCGCGGGGCTGCTATACGCGAGCCTAAAAGGTACGAGGAGGAAGTCACCCGTCTCCTACTATATGAACATAAAATGTGTCGTCCAAAGTGCGCTCGCGGAAATCTCCCCCTTACTCGACCGTAACTCTACGCCCCGAAACTTCGCGCGTGACTCGAGAGGCTGATTGACTGTTCCTAATACAATCAAGTCACCCCGCGCAATTGACTCTTATTTGGATATTTCGCGGACTGGGAATGGCTCCGCCACATACCCCGATGACTGGGGATTTCTCGATCCAGAATTTCATATTGGAGATCCTGAAGAGATTCCGCCAAGGTATGAAGACGAGACTGCTGGAAATGCTGCTGGAGGAGGTCTCTACAGGATTGGGAGCACTCGATCTCGGGGATCTACAATTCCCCTGGGTGGGGGCTCTGCTGCCCAAACTACCGAGGTCCTTCCCGGGACTTAGAGCAAAAGGCCTACCACGATTCTCTCGTGTTCCGAAAAGCCGGTACCTTAATTTTCATTTGCGCCCCGATCCCGCCCTCGACAAGACATATGACCCGGAACTCTGAAGGCGCTGCCTCTCTCAATATCAGAAAAGGATTCACTTGGTGTAGGTACGACTCAGATTTATTGAGCCCTCGTCCAGATTCTATGTAGCCGAACATCCCGGAAAGTTTGCACTCTGTGCCACAACTCACTCGCTAAACGAGTTGTCACACAGTCACAGGACATATTATATTTTAATTGCGGCACCATCGTATACGAACAAGAGCTAACACGCTACTCGACGAGCCGACCGAAGGTGCTCGCTGGACTCCGCTCCCCGGTTTCGCGCAAGACCGAAGGCTGCCTGAAGGATCCGATCCCGGAAACTTCGAGCGGAAGCGAAAGACGACTCCCGACCGGGATACAAACGCTCCCTGAGGGGAGAAAAGCAGCGGGCACCGTCGGGCCAGGGCAGCTTTAGGCGCTTCGAATAGGGAATTGATCATTGAATTCTCGAGGTTGCTGCCACAGAAACCGTAAATATGCCCGACGATCGGTACATTCGTTCACTAACTCTGAAGTCGTCGCAGGCTTAGGATTCGTGTAGAGGCAGTGTTACTGCAACGTGACGTCATCTATCCCTGCAATGACGAGGCCATCATTTGGAGATTCTCCAAGTTTCGACACAGACTCAAAAATATAGTCTGATTGAATCCTGCTCGTCAATGGGAAGACTATATCGGGAAGAAACCTCTTTGGGCTTCGAACACCACCGTCCGCTGTCTCCCTGGAACGAGTGCGTTCGTGTCGAGACCGCTCTTCGTTATGCATTGGACTTGCTGACGGGGACGGATGTGTCGGGGTTCCAGGGCGGTGAGCTTGGGATCGGAATCGTCAAACCTCCCTGAACAGCGACATCCCCAGGGAATCACCTCCTTGAGTATCAGATTCGAATCCAGGCAGAAGTGGATTCTGTTTTCGGAGTTGTCCGATTTTTGCGACCATTGACACGAGGTTTCGGCCGGCGCGCGACATAACTAGAGCTTGGCCGGAGCTGGAGGCTGTTTTTCATGAGATCGCAGGTGTGTGCGGAGGCTTGAGTCATTGGAATTTCCAATATTATTGATGTAGCTTGCAAATACAGCATCTGGGGCTCTCGTCCGACATCGAGGATTCTCTTGCGCAAAAGTGCTAACGCAGCGATCTAAGGAAAGCAATTGTTTCGGACGTCAAACCATTCCCGTCGGCACAGGCCTCCGAGCGAACAAAATGGACTTAGGCGTCCCGGAGCATCAACTTGGGGTAATTCTTCTTCTCGAGCACTTTTATCGCCGCCCTTGGCTCAAATGGACTTCGGGCATGGATCCCCTCAGCGCCATTGATCGCTTCCGCAAAGTTGAAGCTACCGCCGTGCAGCTTTTCCATGTCCTCTATCCTGAGCGCTCGTTGAGTTCGCCCTGTTTATCCCGTATATGAGGCTGGTTCTCTTCTATTGTCCCTGCTCGATCTCGACTGATGTCGGTGAGCTGCTCGCTGTTCATACGCAGGTAAAAACCGTGAGTCGAAGCGAAAATAAACTCGGCCCGGTCGAAACCGCTGGAGAGGGAACATATCCCGGAAAAATCCATTCCGGAGGAAAACACCTTTCAAGACATGGACGGGGGCCTTCGAAGGGTCATGGCGATGGTCACGGTACTTTTATTCCTTCCCGTCGAGCTTGCTTTTCCGTTTCCTTCGCAACCCCCAAGCCACTACCGGTGCGGCAACCACCACTGCCAACGCGACCACCCGCGAATCCTGCAGCGCCCTCTAGCGAGTGAACCTCTACTGGGTTCAAGCGGGAAAGCAGCGGGAACCCGGCAGACAGGCAGGCAGGCGGGTAAGCGAGCCAGCGAGTAAGAATGAGAACAGCGCCATCTTAGAGGCCCACTGAGCGGTGGTGGTAAAGGGGGAGAGGGCAGGATTGTCGTCGTGGTCCGCTGCGGTGCTCAGAGTCACCGACAACGACCGACGTGAAGCGCGCTCACCACGACCCGCTCTGTCCTTACACGAGGCAGCAAACCACGAAAACAGAGGACAACTATCTCGTAGTGCTTATCGAGAATCGGAGTCTTCCTGCATGTCGACTATCATCATCAGCGACTATCAGCGACTATCGGCGTCGAGCCCGGTCAAAGAGCGCCGTCGGAGCTCGATGGCCCGACAGCCTGTCACCAGCATCTAATTCTTTTCGATATACACCCGCAAACCGGAGAGCGTAACGTCTCCAGCAATAAACGACGACACTTCGGCATCTGACCCCCTGACCGGCCCATAGAAAAATTGAACGAGTCAATTTCCATCGAGAAAGCGTTCGCGCGGTTCGAAGTTTCGGAACCGACGAGATCAGTGGAGGAGAGAGTGCAGAAGGAACAACCATCCATCTGACGGAGCGACAGCAGCAGCAGCAGCGATCCACCACCAAACGAACGAGCAGGAAGACCGCTGCTGGTGCAGCCGCTGCTGCAGCCGCCGCGCCGCTTTCAGAACAGCCGAGAGGAACACACGAGACGACGAGCACGACTGACTCTCTCGGCAGAGAGGAGGAGGACTCCAAGTAAGCAACAAAAACCGCTGCAAACAGCAGTTGCACTAGCACATTGCGAGGAACTAGTTTACAGCAAACAGGAGTGTGAAGTCGTCTCCATACTGTTCCTTCATTGATCGTCGATTCCGCCGCGGCCGTCAGTCAGTGAGTAGCCTGCCTGCTTGCCCGACCGGCCGTCTGTGGGACACAAGCGAACCGAGTCGCAGGAAAGAAGGACAACCGCCAGTCTCTCCAGTTGTCGTGTCGGCTCGCTCCTCCTGCGAGCATTCGGTCATTCGGTGGAACTGCCGCTATTCTCCCGGTTCATTATATCGCCAGTGAGTGAGCGGGCGACCGACCGACCGGTGGAACAACGACGGATAGATCGATCGACGGACAGACGGACTAGCGGACGAACAGGGCGTACAGTGTGTGAATCGGTGGAATTGAGAACATCCGAAACAGTAGTGCTTATTTCGTAGTTTCCTGCGAACGAATTTCTTTTCAACGAAACGCAGAGGTAGGTTATGCCAATGATCGACTGAGATGAGGCTTCCGTCGGCATGCCGCGCCGTGCAGCTCGAGCCCGGCTCGGGTGACATCGTGGGAAGCCGAATTTAACTTCTGCGAAACTTTGAAGAACGTGACGGCCAAAACCCCAGTCGGGAGTTACCGACTGTGATCAAAACAGTCGCGGACAAAAGAATTCGACCTCGAATCGAGCGCAGTCGATGACGAGGTCGAAATGGACTCCGTTGGAGCCGGGACGCTCCATCGGAGAGGATGCTCTGAGCTCAATGAGAGTCTTTGTTGGAGCGCGTGTTCAAAAGTAGAAAGTTATTTTCGAATACGCTCCGGAGGAATTCTCCGTGTGCCGATTCGTTCCCGCGCGCGCCGAGAGGAGTTCCACGTGTCCGTCCAGTGTTCTGTGGATCCAGTGATGACGTATGAATTTTTTAGGCGCTCCAGCTCGGACCGCCTCAGCTCGTTAGAACGGGCTAGCCGCCAGTTTCCGGCCTCGATTGAACGCTCCGTAATATTCCGACGTTTCCGACTCTATCGGCAGTATTTTAAATGTCTTCGAAATGATGCCGAGGGGACTACACGGGCAGCGGTGAATCATAGCTCGCCCCAAAATTGTCGCTTTGAGGCGTCCGAATGACTTTCGGAGCTCCATAGCGAACGTCTGGCACGAAATGCCGGTCGAGCAACTGTGGCGCTTGTTGCTCGGACCCGTGATTTGAACTACTGTGAATCAATGATGAATTATCAGAATATAGCTGTGACCCTTTCTTTCGAATTCCCCCGTGGTTCCGATATAGACTCCATTGAAATGATACCTTCCCGCATAGTTTCTCATTTGACGTGACGTCGCTCAGCTCGTCTGCATCAAGAGCGAACTCTATCGGTAGTTTGCGGCTCAATGTTGCTGTTCCAGCAGATGCGCTTTTCCCTTGTACAGAGTCAAGTCGACCGAGAACCGGCTCTGGGGGACTCTCACAAAGGGTGTCACCTCGCATTGATTCGCGCGCTCGGTCTCACCACAACAAACACTCAATTGAGCAGCAGCAACCACTCAATAAGTGGATCAATGGGCGGACGCGATCCCCGTGTAGACGTCGCCGCTGCCCCTTGTCGAGTTGTACGGATCAGGTTACGATAGGCCCGCTCACAGATCCAAGCACACCCCGATAGTATCCCTCGATCGCTTGTTCGAGCCCAATTAAGGCGATCGGAGGAACTTGGCTGAGTTACTTATCGCTGCGAACTTCCCCTGTGAAGCTCCGTCTTATCAAGTTGACACTTCCATCTGAGATGAGCGGTGTGCGGTTTATTCGCTACACCTGCGACCCTTACGGGAGGCCGGACGCTCTCGGAGGTCCAGATCACGAGTTTTCCGCCGATATCATTATTGGAATATCCTCTCATGCTCTAGAAAACCGGGGCAGCAAGGCCCGAGGTTTTGGCCGCCCCGGTCATGGGGCCGGGAGCCCCGGGGCTTTGGTCGAGCCCTCGGTCGAATATTTATACGAGTGGCTCCGAGCTGAGTTTCGAGAGCACTCAGGAAGCTCGTCGGAGCAAACGAGAACCCATGTTGCATATTGTATTGATAAATGCCCTGCGCCGCTTCAAGGGCGCAGTCCACATTTGGCGAGGAGTCTTTGCCCACTTGGGGTCGGCGCCACAGCCGCCACTGGGTGGTTTTCGATCGGTCATCGACCATCGACGGTCCGACAGACCGAGGAACCATGGAACGCACAAAGTGGACAACCTCCACGAGCACAGCCGAACAACCAGGACAACGGTAGGGAGCCACTCGGCCTCAGAAGGCCGGGGAACGGGCAGGCGGCTGGATAGGAAGCTCTCCGATTGGCGGCGTGAAGCTCAGAGGGTCGACTTTTGGCCATTTTTTCTTTTGCCCTCCAGGGCTTTGTTGTCGTTGTTCTTTCTCTTTTTCCCGACGTCGTCGTTCTGTTGTTGTTCCCCTAGTCGCCGTCGCTGCCGGAGACATTTTCACGCTCTGCTGCCTCAAACTCTAGCACATCCTGGGCATTTAAAGCTCAAACGAACGCAGCGACCACGGGGGAGCCGCAGTCGAAATGACTGGCTGAGCGGCTTGTGGGAAGCACCTTGGAGGAGCAAAGGAAATGTTCGCCCTCCTCTGCACTTGGAGGAAAGCCGAGGAAGTCCCACAGCGGCGCGGCGCGCTCTGCTGCAGGTGTTTCGCGACAAAAGGTCGTTGCTTCGATCGTTGAACGTGGCTGATGACGTTGCTGTCGGTCGTTGTCGTTATCGTTGCACCGACTGGTGTTGCTGTCTGCTGGAGTCGAACGGAAGAGCTCTCTTGTCCGGAATCGTCCGAGAATCCTCCCTGCTAAGGGAGATACTCAGGAACCTTTTCTTCCTCCGTCAGAATGAATAGATCATACCCCCGGGCGGAAAAGCGTCGGAGGCTAAAATGTCCAAGGAATGATAAACAACCCGTCGGCTGGCCGTCGCTGACTTTACCATCGTCTCCGTGCGCGTCGTCCTTGCCTTTCAAAGGATCTTTGTTTCTTTTTCCCGATGCAATGTTCCTTATCCTCTTTCCTTCTCTCCCGAAGGGGGAATCCGCAGGATTTTTATCCTGATCCTCGACGGGCCGGCAGAGTCTCGGTAGATTCGTCGACCGACCGGTCGGCTGATTCTAGCTGTGCGGCCACCTGGTCGACGCTATCTTCCGTCTTTCTCCTGTGTCTTCTTAGAGGCAGCCGGGATGATAGCAATAGCCAGTGACGGCTGAGGCGTCGTCAGTCGCCGGCGGCGGCAGCAGTCTCGGTAGAACATGAGGAGGAACATCGTACAGGAGGAGGAAACTGTGCCAACTGTGCCGAGAACAGCGTGAAACAGTGTCTGTTCTTTTCACAATATATGAGAATCACCTTACGACGTGACCGCACTGCGCTGTTTGCGGAGCATAAGATAGCAAAACTCGCACAACTAACCTCGGGCGAGCTGCCAGCAAGTATTCTGCCTCTGAGGGCGCGTCTGACCCTTGGAACCTTGCCTGAGCCACCCATCAATAGCGTATACATCGGAAACGTATTCGATGACGGGGGCAACGGGCTGGGGGGGGGTCACTGCATATCCCCATAAAATACGTCTCATCGAGACCTCCCATGGACACGGGTAACCATAGAAAGCAGGAGCTCATTGGTATCTAATTCCTATCTACCTGTAAGATTTTACTCGTTGCGCTATGCGGGCTGACATATTATTATTAGAGCTACCTATCGGACTAATCCAGGTCCTGCTCTGGTGCCGGAGCCCCGGGTCTTGTCCGTTTCGACCGAAGGGCTAGGAACTCGATTGCAGAGCATGTCGTGGCCCTATGCGATTTAAGCCCGATCGGACGATAAAGCCGAGTCACTCCCAGTAGTCGAAGTTGCCTCTCCGAGGGACTCAGGGGAATCCGAGGGGACTCGGTGGAGGATCGGGGTCTGGGATCAAGACGGGACATTCGTCGGAGGTCAATGCCGAGCGGATCAGATCTAAAGCTGTGCAAGCCGAGTCGCAGTCTAAGTCTTAAGCTAAGCCGGATAGCAAGCTAGTCGGCGGGAGCGGGCCCGAGGGCGCCAGGCGGCCTTAGCGCCCAGCGAGCGGACGGCCGACCGTTCGCTCGGTGGGCACTCACCGAGAATACACTTTTAAACTGATTAAATCTTATGCGTACCCGCCTTGCACCACAAATTGCGAGACGGACGACAATTTTTAACGCGATGAGCCCGGGGGACAGGCAGGAGGAGGGGGACTCCGGCTTCCCTGAGGGGCGAGGGGAGGCGGAGACGAACCAGAAGTTGTGCATCGGTCGGCTAGACGACGCCGCTGCTGCCGTCAGTCGTGCAGGAGCCACTCGAGCTGGCAGCGAGTGACCGTAAAACGAGCACGTCTTGTTTTCGAGGGATAAGCCAAGACGTGAACACGATCCATACCGGATGTTTCCTCTGCACGCACGCACGCACTCATATATTTGCCCTGCGGTGCTCGCAGTTCGCCTAGCCGCTAAGTAACAGGCACGAAGCAACAGCCGCCTCCCAGTCGGCGCCGTTCTGAGAACTCTAATAAGAGCTGATCGTGGCTGGCCGAGGGAGAATTATCCCTCCTCGGGAGCAGAGTCCGACCCCACGTTCTCTTGAAACTTGATCCAGACATATAAGTACGTCGACGACGTCCTCCTTCACTCCCGATCAGGATTCTTCCATTGTCGACTGTCGAGCACAGTCGGAAACAGTTTCCATTGTTTCCTGTTTTCAGTCTGCCGGAACCGTGACTCCAGACCAGAACTGATCACAGCGAAGCCACTGATTATTATTACTGTGTTCGTTTCGTTTGCCGCTTGTTTTGATCCCTGCCGCAGATTCGGATCCGGTACTCCGTCGGAGGGTTTTGATCAAAGCCGTCGGCATTAAAGAGAATTTCTTCCCGCCAACCGGAAAAGACGGGAACGGAACTGGCCGGGCTCGGAGGTGATTGATTTCGATTTGAGAGGATTTCGGAGGGGGTCTCGACAAGCCAGAGCTCGGGAAGGAAGCGAGGCAATGAAGACTCCGCGTCCGCCTTCGCCAGCGCAGTTCCTGCGAGTCGTTGGTAGCGGAGTCAAAGCCCGTCTTACGGCACTCACTCAGCAGCCAGAGAAAACATTCCAATTCTCATCTCAGCCGCAATTGTTCACCAGAGGAGAACTTCAGCTATGCGATGAATGCAGTCAAAGGGTCATCCACTAGCGGCAGTGCGAACGGCTCTCGAGACGAAGTGCCCCCTGCCCTCCTCCCCCTCCTTCCGGTGCCGACGCCATAGCCGTCATACCCGCGTACTTTGACGGGACTCACGGGACGGGGAGGCGAGGACAGACAAGAATCCAGACCTCGGGAGTCTGTCCGACCCCTCAAAACCTGTCGAGGGTTCGGACAGACTGCCGTTGAATTGAGCAAGGCAACGGCGAAAATGATTTAGGTGAGTCGATCGGCTCTACATGCGAGTGACGGACTTGGGCGAAAAGACGGCAAATCACCGTGTTGGGCCAAGGACGATCGAGAGCGGAACTCTACGAGAAATACGACCGGGGCTGTCGTGTATGTTAAATCCATCGTAAATCGCCGATGTGCCTTGTCGATTTCAAGGCAACTCGCGTTCATGGCCCTACACGAGCCCTATCGTCGGCGGAATTTCATGGGACTCGTATCGTAAACTCCCACTCCGGCTGAATGTTCGTCTTCGAGTAATTCTCGATTCCCATGGTTGAACCCGCTGCCCACGAAGCTCCCCCATCCACCCGCGCATGATAATCGCCCACAATTCTCTCTCGCTCGATGGACAGTCGATAGGTCCAGTAGCTCGTTCGCTACACGAAAGTTGAATCGGAGCTACGGAATAATGGTCTGTCCGATGCGAGGCTTAACTAAGCGCCTAACCAAGCAACAAACCAAAAACGACAACGCGCTTTGTCGACGCGACACGAGAGGGAGATCGACTCGGAGAGGGCGAAGCGTTAGCGTCGAAATAACCCACAGAGCAAGCAAGCGGGCAACGAAGCAACAGCAGCTTAATCTAAGGGGCCTACTCAGGGAGCAGCGAGCGCAGTGACCGTCGCCGCAGCATCAGTCACGGTGTCGGTAGTAGCCACAGCAGTGCTCCGCTTCGAGTTGAACGTTCTCTGGACAGGTTAGTGATAGTCGAGTTCGAGGATAGTCGATGCCGACCGGTCCGTCCTGGTCACGAACGTGCGGAGCGCGCCGCCGACTCACTCACCGACTGACTGACTGAGTATGATCGACAGGAAAGGAGCGTGTTCAACAGCTTCAGGGGAGCGATCGAGATGGCAGGACGTTTTTCCGTGATGGCTCAGATGATGCGTTGTCAGCTGAGAAACAACTGCTATCGCTCCTGGGACACGCCCGGCCGTACAGCAGGATCCGTGCCCGGCGGGCGACCGATCCTGTTGTCCTACTTTCCCTGCGCTCCACGAAAACGAACTCCCCAGGCCTGGTCCAATCGACCTCTACGGTCGGGGTCCCTTGATTCGTGGGGGACAACGCTGGCTCGCAAACCGCTGATACAAGCAAGGGGTTTCAGTTCTCCGATCCTGGTCCATCTCGAACCCCACATGCGTTTCCCCCCCCGCGGAACGGGAACCTGCTGACGACTTCTGTTTCCCTATACTCAAAGGGAAAGCAGGAGCCGCGCGCCCAAGTCCGCGCTTACGTCTTTTGACAGAAGTCGCGGACGGTAGAAGTTTACGTCAGCTATCGGCAGACGGCGCCAGAGCGCGAGAATCAGATGGTCGCTGAAAGAGTCGTCTGCCGGCAGCTTTCTGCTCTGACTTGTCCGCCGGTCTAACCGAAAACGTAATCGACCGACCGAGTAACCGCCCGCTCGCCTGCCGGCTGTCAGTTTTATCGAGAAGCTTGTCTTACCATCGCTCTCTCAAACTGTGAGAGACAGCTGCAAGCTCCGTCGTGCTCATCATTTGTCGTGAGTGTAATAGGAACTCTCGCCCCACCGGATCCGCGCCCTCGACGTTGTTATAGTAACCGCTGCACGAGCTGCTCTCCCGATCCTTACTCTCTACGGAAAATACACTCACATTCACGTTCACGATCATCTGTCTCGGATTTTTCTGCTTTATCTCCGAGAGCGCATCGCGAGTTCAACTCCGAATACCCCTGGTGGAAATTGTGTGGGAACAGCTCAAGTGCCCTCGGTTTTTCTCGGAATCCTGTCTTTGATGGCCCAGTATCAATTGCTCAGGTATGACTCGTGGCTAACATCTGCCCACGTGAAAAATGGGTGTCAACACCCTTCGGAGCGAGCTGGGCGCCCCGAAGCGCTTCCCAATGGCGGACCGAAGTCTTGAGGTTCCAAGCGAAGTGCAAAATATGAGCGTCTGATTATCGCGAGCAGTCTCAAACTCAAAAGCCTCAGAAACGGGGAAAATTCCGGCAGCCTGGAAACGTTCGAAACTTTGGTGATTGGGATTGGGCTTCTCGATCGCACTTTCCGTTCGGAATTTATGGCTAGCCTCATGTCCGTGGCTCCGAACGATCGGTTGAGAATTTGATTTTCCTCGACTGATCAGAGCTGGAATTTCGGGCGCGCCGGCAAAACGGACGACGATTATGAGCCGGCGAGCCCGGACAAGGAAGCGATGCAGTTATCGAACGCTCTTCACTGCCCGCCCTTCAACCTCGACGTGGTCGTTGGGGTAATGCTATTTAGAAACCAATTTCTCCGGTCCCACTGGTCGGAGAGTGTCGCACACTGATTGTCGGGCTGATGGTCGCTCGTCCAGCGGGGAGCCGTGATGAGTTCGATGGGGGACGTTCTTTTCTTGAACAGACTTCAAATTAATTGTTTTTTCCTTCCGTCATGTCCCACTTCTTCTCGTATCGCTCTGCGGCCTTCCCCATTTCCCCGAGAAGGAACGACAATTGAAGATACTTTCGGAGAACAATTTCCTAGATTGTGTCGAAAAAGTTTTCGATGATGTCTAGGACCCGCTTCAGAGGTTTCCGTTCGTCGGTCACTGTGTCTTCTGACGAGAATTTATGCTTCTGCGTTTCTCGACGAGCATGGCTTCTTGCGCAGTTGGCTCCGGGATTCATGCACGTTTCCCGCGGATACGTCAGCTGGCCTTGTGCGGTGGAACTTGTTTATCCTGACTTGAGATCCGACGCCCTTTGAGAGCCGGAATTTCCGTATGTCCTCACGTCTCCGACACGAATGCTAGGGGTTGATCCTGAGAGAGCTCTGTGGATTGGGATCGGAGCTCTTCCGCGTCCATATTCCGCATCTCTTCAAAGACGATGGGAATATGCGACTTCGTCGATCGAGCCTGTCCCATTTTTGGAAGGCGACTTAATATTCGTATACAATTTGATTCATTAGGGATCAACTTGACCGCAGCTCATCCATCGCTGTCGGGAACCGGTCGATTCACGATGCCGTGAGCTCCGCCTCATTGAGACACCGATTAATGAGATCCTCCGCATAATTCGCTCCCGAACGGTCCCGATCAACCGGGCTCCATTTATTCGAGCTCCGGATAATCCAATCCTCCGCTTATCCGGATCAAAACAGCCAGGTCCCAATGTGCTCCTACCGAGCGGAGTTCATTGTATAGTTATGTGCGGAACCGCTAGAACTGAATATCTGGGATAAACTTCAAAACACCCATCTCGGTCTGGATTGATTACGAGTTGAATCGCCATTCTGTCGCGACTCCTGCGACCCTCCGAAGCGCGTCTTAATGCTGCGCAATAGAATTATCGGAAGGGACATACCGACGCTGTGTCTTTCGTCAAGTCTTGACACTAAATACAATTCATGCTCTTTACAGAGGTAAAATGCCAACGGATACGATGGACGATATCGAACTCCGTGGATTAGAAGCTTCGTCGCCTCTGATGAGGAGACTCTCCAGGTCAGACTCGTACACGCAGGAAGACAAGATCGAGACCCAATGGGGCACAATGCTTGTTGCCGTTCAAGGAGATCGCCAGAAACCCGCAATCTTCACGTATCATGACATCGGTCTTAACCGTGAGTGGCTTGAAACAGAATTTTCCCTCACTCCTCTCTTCCTAAGGGGCATTGATGTTGGCGGAATTCTGGGTACGGGGAAAATATTATGCTCGCCCGATCAATCGTGCGGATCTCCCATATTCGCTGCGAGGGTTTTTCTGTCTCTGGGAGGAATTCGATGGGATCAACATGTTCCACCAGTGAGCGATCGTTCGTCGCGAAAAAAGTGACCGCTTTTCTGAGGAAGACGCGGCGGCGCCGGACCGCAGCGGGTTTCGCTCGCCGCAAACAGCGGCGCCGCGTGCCCAGTTCAGTGTACGGAATGTGGGCCACCCCGAGAACAGACCCCGCTGACTTTGGCTCGAAGCATGAGTCATCGGCGAGCGCGGCGACGAAACACGTGGCGGAAGGGGCTGGAAAATCCCCATTTTCTTTTCGTCGTGTACTTCCGATGAGTGGACGGGGTTCAGCTTCAACGGGATATCTTCAGACGGGGCCCTGACGGAGAACTGTGTCGCCAGGAACGGTTCAGAAATTTTCGGAAAACATGCATTCGTACTGAATGAAAAATGCTTCTTGACGGATTCGACCTTCCCGTAATGAAAATTATTTCGAGGGATGGCTCCGGAAATCCGAACCTAAAAAAATTCGACGTGTTTCAAATTGTATACCTTTGCAGATGTCTCGAATTTCCAAGCGTTCTTTAACTACGTTGACGTGAACATGATGATGAAGAATTTCTGCATCTACCACTTGAACGCTCCCGGTCAGGAGGAAGGGGCTCTAAACTTCCCCGAAAAGTAAGTGTAGCACTTCCTCTCCACAACCGTAATTCAAACCCACTCGGGATTAGGACCCTCCACCCGACTAGACGTTCTCTGGTGAGGCCGCGCGACTTTCATTTTTCCGCTGGCCACCCGGATGTCATTTGAATTTCCGCCTTAAGGCTCTCATCAGCAAAGTTTCCGCCTTTTATCAGGACGAACGCCGTCGTCGTCTTTCGAGAGGGCTTTTGGGTAGAGTGCCCCTACCAGAATGGAAATGAGACCCGGTCTCCGTTTGAGAGGGCTTAACGAGCTCCCTGATTAGTCGGAGACGTTGCGGACCGTTTCGGGGGTGGCAACGACGAGGAACGAGTGCAATGGCGAGACGGAGGGCTCGTGTTGCTTAGCTAATTCCTAATTGCGTGCGAATGAAGGGCTTCGACGATCGATTTGCATTCCAGCTACGTGTTCCCGACGATGGACCAGCTGGCTGAGATGGTCCTCCCAGTGATGAAGTTCTACGACCTCAAGCACTTTGTCGGCTTCGGCGTCGGAGCCGGAGCGTACATCATTTCGAAGTTCGCACTCGATCATCCCGAATGCGTCGACGGACTATTTTTGATCAATTGCACCGCGAGCAAGAGCTCCTGGACAGAGTGGGGCTACCAAAAGGTCAACGCGATGCACCTCAAGTAAGCTCAACATGGCGTGTGATCATAGCTCATACCGGAGTTCAAGGCAACTGATCCGTGAAACTCTCCCCCGGAAGGATCTCAGCGATTCGGAAGGGATTGCCACGCGCGTGATCCGCGATAACAAGATCGGCGTCGGGAGATTAATTGAACTCGAATAGCAGAGTTGAGAGCTCCGAACGAATATTCGCCCGCTCCGAACGAATATTCCTGGCGATGATGATTCAGTTTCAATTTTAATCTCCGCAGGACGTCGGGTATGACTACCTCCACCCTGGATTACCTGCTTTGGCACCACTTCGGCAAACTGTCCGAAGACCGCAACTATGACATGGTCCAGATGTATCGGAACTACTTCAACAAGAGTATCAACGCTCACAACTTGTCTGCGTTCATCGACTCGTTCATAAAGCGAAACGATCTGAACATCGTCAGAGAACTCGACCCAAACAAGAAGAAGACTGCGCGAAACTTCACGTGCCACGTCATGCTCGTCGCTGGAAGTCTATCGCCCCATGTCGACGATACCGTGAGTTCTGAGACAACCGTATTCCCCCGGAGCAGCCTGCGGCCTTCCGCATTCCTGGAATTTGCGCATATGCGGAAGCGTGCCTAACAGAGTTTGTTCTCTCGCAGGTCAATATGAACGGTCGCTTGGATCCTTCGAATTCGTCGTGGATGAAAATCTCCGATGCTGGCATGGTCCTCGAAGAACAGCCCAGCAAGATTTCCGAGGCGCTAAGGCTTTTTTTGCAGGGATTGGGCTATGGTGAGTTCTCGAGAAGTAGACTAGAGCCATGTCGAAATTTCTAGTCCATAGGGTCTGAACTACTCATCGTAGCCCCGAGCTCCGGGGCTCAATCCGCTATTTACCCGACTTTTTGCGAGTTCCCTGTCTCCAAACGAATTTCCTTTCCGTGTCGTGAATATTCCTGAGAAGATGTCGGCTCCGCCTCGCTGCACTCGAGCTTCATGTGTCCTCACGGGATCTCTTTTATCCTTGCCAGCTTTGAACTCTGCTCAGAGACGCACGTCGGCCGCATCCCTGAATGAAGCTCTAGCCGAGAGAAGGAGGTCTTCAATCGCCACTAAGGAAGCCGCTGCAGCTGCCGCCGCAGGTCAGTATTAAACCTCATTCGTGGAGCTCCTGAGGCTCTTTGTCATCTCTGCAGCTTCCCTCCCACCGAAATACATACCTCCTCATCTGTCTATCTGTCCGTCTGTTTGTGCGTCGGTTCTACCGACTGACCGACCGACCGACTGACTTGATTTGTTCGTCTGTTGAACCATGTTTTTATCGGTTTCTTCATCCGATATGTTCCTTGTGTTCCTAATTACTGATTCCCTGATTAGCGGCTTCTCTCCACGTGGGATGATATCCTGTTTTCACCGCCTAGATTAGCTCTCTCCTTTTCTGCAACACCGGCTGTGAGCTCGCTTGCTATAGAGCAACGCGTACTACTCGATCTCATTAGTTCATGACAGACATCGGCAGCAAACGGATACTTCCCCTGAATTCGGGAGCAAACTCCTCGATTCGTTCTTCATCTTTCTTTCCTCTCTCCCGATGGATCGTTCGTTAACATTCTCGTGGACTCTTGGTTTTTCGAGACGAACCGCGAGATCATTTCGCTATCGCTCCGCAATTTCGTTCCTGCCCTTCCTGTTTTACTCATTCGACCGCTATCATTATTGCCATTGTTGATGTCGATGTGAGTGATGTCGTCATTGTGCGCAACTGTCTAACTCGTTCCCTTCGTATCCGTTCCCGTGCTGACTCCTCTGGTGGCCCGATCCCGCTAACAACGTTGACGGACGATGGTTCAATGGATTTGTGTGTTCGTTGTTGGTTTTTTTCGCCGATTATTCGACTTCTACTCCTGTCGTCTCCCCCTGGTACCTTGGTGAATTCTCGATCACAACTCGTCGCCTCCTCTCCCCCGCTTGCTCGCGCTACCGTACTCATCGGATCTTGCACCGCCGTTCACTTTGATCTACTGTCCGTTCTCCCACTGCCGAAACCGTGTAAATTCACTTCTTCCACGCCGTTAGCACCCTAGAGAACACGCCGCCATCTATCAAATATGATAGAGAATCCAAGAGATTCAACACGCAAAGAAAGCCGCCCATTCCAAAATGTTCTTCTCTGTCCGCTGAAAAAATGACGCGGTGTACTCACCGCGACAGCTAGACGTGACTCCCTGAAGTCAGGGAGGATTCGATTATTTATTGAAGACGCAGAAGTGTTCCTTCGCTTCCCGAGGAGCTTGGCGGGTATCATTCCCCGCAGAAGAAGTCTTCTGGAACTGCTCATCGCATTATTGACCGACGAGGGTTCCCCGAAAAAGTCACAACAAGTTTATCCCGTTCTCCTCTCACATGAGGGAGCCCGCCGAGCTCCGAGAAAGAATTATATTAAGGAGACAGGCTAAGATCTGAAAGGAACCTTAGACATAAACACTAATCACCAGAAGGCACCGTTCAGAAACGATGTGCTTTGAAAGTAGGAAAGCGTAGGCGATCGAGTACAAATCCATCCCCGATTCGCGGGAGTTCCGGACTCGGTCAAGATATATTTATATGGTTCAGGAATAATCTGCACTGAGAAGTATTTTGCGGTACTGACGGAGAGAATGAATAAACTTTTGATGCAAAACAATCAAATTCAGAAGTCGTGTTCAGTGGAGTCCTGAATCGACTGGATTCAATCGGAATGCGAAAAATGACGCGGATAGACTCTGCTTGCATCTTTGAAACCCTCATTTGAGACCTCCTAGTTGAGCGGCGTTTTGCCGGTTTTTCGCATCCATCGGGAATCCGCGCTTGCTCTCCTCGAGCTGTCCCCTTGTTCCTCTGAATTCCAGCGGTCGTCGCATGCATGAAAATAGTATGATGTATGGGTGTGATGATGTGAACGATGTCAATCATGTCAAGGAAACGAGAGCCTGCTCCTGCTGATGACCGTGACAGCGTCGCTAACGTAGTTTTTTCCCTCCTCTCCTCGCATGTTGCCGAATGATCGTCGTGAACTCGAACGCACTTCCCCCTATCGATCTGATCTGATTTGACTTGACTGGACCTCACGCTTTCTCGTCCTTGCACTTCAACTGATCTTCAACGGAACCAACTTCAATGTTGATCTCTCCCCGTCAACAACCATGCTCTCCCGTTGACCGCCTTCCGATGGGAATCGCCTCACCTCACTCTTTGCGGATCGGATCCAAATTTCATCCCGCAGTCGCCGAGAGAGCAAGACACACATCTGTCGCCGAGGAGGATGCTTCCTCAGAGAAAGTGAATATCACCGAAAACCCCATCGAGACATGTCAATAACTAGAGGTTAGTATCCTTCGCCTCCACTGATGGCACATCCTCACCAAAATATATCATCACAATTCGTTCGGTCAGACGGTCAGTATTCGAGCTGCCTCCGCGGTGGATTCGATTAGGAAATGTGAACCCGATTCTTCTCTTCCCAGGCGAAGCCGCTGCGTCGTCTGAATTACCAACTCAATCCTGCTGGTGTTCGAGCGACTCCCGCAGCATCGCCTTGTTCACCATCGTCATCCGCATATACTCTCTATCCCAGCAACAGGTCAGCTTCGAATAGCAGCAACAGCAGCATCAGTGACAGATATCTCCCTCCCACACTTGGTAGCTCTAGTTCCCAATCATCGCATTGTACACCGACCACAAGGACAACACGAAAGTCATGTGTGGCGTCTTCCACTCTTCTTCCTCAAAAAACGACGTCGGCACCAACTGCAGGAGGAGCAGCTACGACAACCCCAGCAGCAAGCGTTTCAACATCTTCCAACATCCCAAAAGCATCTTCTAATCTCGTAAATTCAGCGACGGGGAGCGAGAGCCTCCCATCAGCTGCTACAACGAACGGCATCCCTAGCAGGGTTGTGAAGATTAGCAAGAATGGAAGGGTGGTGGGTAGCTTGAAAATCGCTGACCTACACCCGGGACACCAAGGGAAAGCTCAGAGTCCGGGCTCCATCGGTGGAGCTCGAGGCCTAGCTGATCTGACAATGGGTTCGAATTCGATCGACGGATCGAGTCAAAGCTGCCAGCTGAGTTTGGATTTAGATTCTGCCAAGTTGCCTTACAAAAAAAGCCTTAACCGTTCCTCGCTTAGCTCTGGGGACGGTCGCCTGAGTAGTCAAGCTAGACATTCGGATGGGCCGACAAGCACGATAGCCGCTTCAGACGACCCACCCGCAACAGAAAATGGTACCTGCCTCAGTTCCGCAGCTCCCGCAGAAACAAAAACGCTCGCGAACCAGCAGCTTCACAGCAAAGATGGCAACGCAAAGTTGCAGCGGCCGCGAAAATCTCCTGCTCCTTCGAATACAGCAAAATCTCCGTTGACAAGTTGTCAGCATCTGAATCATCATCCACGACAGCTACAACAACAGCAGAAAGAACAACAGCAGCAACAAGTTAACGACCTCAACGATGCATTTAATCCGAAAAGTTCTCAGAACGACGCCGTGCTCCTTGGCGGTCTCGATGGTCGTGCGACCGAGATTGCCCATTCGGAAAACACCACGGCAATGCTTCCCGTCGATACGACGAGCTGTTTATCGAACATACGAAGTAATATTTTCAAAACGACTTCAAAGAATCGTAAGAATCCTGTTCAGCCCGGCTTCCGGGGAGACCGAATCGTGCCTTCCTCGCTTGGTATGGTTGGCACCGTGGTCAGTGTCACCAAGGGAGGACAATTCATCTGAGAGTGAGAAATACCTAGAATTCGATAACGAGAACGGAAGAAAACCTCCAATCACACATTCGAGAGTCTGCTCTCTCGTACTGATAAATTCGCGGCGTTTCCGAGAGTCCGCGGTACGAGCTGATCATTCGCCCAGATACCCGACTCCCTGGGAAAATGCAAGACCAATAATTGTGAAAACGACGGATCACGAGGAAAATCCGAATAATGAGTTCCATGAGAGGCGAATGATAGAGAATTCAACTCATTCTCAGTCAGTCATACATCAGCAGCGCAAAATACAAAAACGTCATCCACTCTGGATTTTACCCTAGAAAAGCTTCACTCATGCCCTGAACCCGGACGGGCGCCGGAATACGACGCGAAAAGCCGAGGATTTCAGCCGCGATGATGGTGATCATCGCAGTACTCACCGCTGTGGCCATCGTCGTTCAATATGAGCCGTACGGCGTTCAGGGTTCACCGGTTCGTGATTTTCGCCCGTAACAAAGGTGTGGAAAACGTTCTCATATGGAAATCTACGTAGTGAACAGCGTGGAATGTTCAGCAACAAAGCATCAAGTGTCTTCAGTCGGGTCGTTGCAGCCATGTTAACCGCTGCGACGATCGCAAACAGTTCCCAGATGTGATTAAGGACAGAGTTTCAGAAATCAGGGTTGACAATGCGGACCCATTTATTGTTGTTAGAGCCCATTTCGTTGTGAGAGCGCTCCCCACGATCAGAAACAATCGCCAAACGTCGATAAGGACAAGAAGGAAGTTTTCACCGAGAAGCTGCTCTTCGAGACCCAACAGCAACCAGGTGACATAGTTGTGTGATGGAAAGTCGCCTGAAGACTTTGATTGAGCGACTCGTCAGGAAGTGTCGATTCCGCCATCTTGTGATGGAGTCCTCTCGATTTCGATCGCTACCCGATCGGGCGTGGGATGTTGAATTCTAAGATAAACTTTAACATAAGTTCATAGATTTTAAATCTGTTGTGAGGAGAGAGAAGAAGGGAAATTGTCGCGCGTCATCGATCAATCAAGTGCTCGATGCGTCAATGCGTTGCCCTTGTGCCTAAATCCTTTTTTCCTACCATCATCTATACGCGACAAAAACATTACTACCATAATGGCATAGATTATTATACCCTCATCGTTGTCATGACAGCCAATTCGGGCATTTTATCTATCTTGTTGTCGTGAGACCGAGAATACTTCATAAATGCACCTCATTCTCTACTCTCTGTTATGATTATACTTCTGATGGCGCCAACTGGCGGCGATGGTGAAAAAAAAAATCCCCATAAAACCGGTGAAGAAAATTAGAAACTAAATCCCCAGGGTCAGCTTGCGCGCGGGAAAACTCTGAGCTCGCTGGGAGACCGAATCCGTTAAGGAGCGAATATGAAGAAAAGAAAATAAAGAGACTTTCTCTGCTCTCCCAACACCGGAATATGGGTGAAATTTTGAGTTCTGCTTTATTGTTTCATTTTCACGTTTTAGGTTCTCCCGAGTCCTAAGGGATACAGGCTGACTCCTAGCTTGCCGAGGCCCCTATCGATTGATCAATTCGAACATTTCGTCCCTTCCTGAGTTTTATCTGGCGTCCCCTCACCCATCGACCGAATTGTGTTCCACAGAGGCATCACTTAGGACACAGAATGAGGAAATCGAGAGAGAAACAGCGCAAACCCAATTTCGAACGAACACTGACAGAGACTGTCGAACAAACAACACCTCGGAGCATAGTGATCAAACCGGAGGAACTCGGTCTGGAGAATCGAGATCACGATTTGATTTAACCTGTTCTGTCGATGAATATGTAGTATCAGGATGGCTGTGGTTTCGGAGACGAATGTTGTATCATTATGATTGACGCTTTCGACCAATGAAGACGCTACGGAGTAAAGTCGTGTGAGTGTTCAACCACGCAGGTGGGAAAATCCGAGCGAGACACGACAGGGGCTTATATGCAGGGAAAACCCACCCCATAGTCATGATTCACACACGGGAATCGACTCGACAGATGTCGACTGGTACATGTTATCGTTAGAGAGCATTCGGTTGTCTAGAGCGCAGGAGGAGAGAAGAGACGAGGAACAGGAACTCAAGGAGAGTTCGGAAATGATCAGTAGATAAATACATGGTAAACTCTGGCGACACCAAAGAAAGGCGAGGGCCCAAGACAGAATCGAGTAGAGAAATATTTACATGACGATAACAGGGCGATATCAGAGTATTCTACTAGAATGATAATCTCTCATGAGGGAAGTGGCGCACGCGAGAGCAACGTGATAGAGGCGTGCCTGGGTTGAGATTGGTCTAATGCGGATGAAAGTCGAATGCCGGGAGCATCCTTGAAGCACTCGGTATGAAGCATGGGGTCTTCGAACTATCGAAAGATCGAGTCCGTCAGAGCCGAGATCTCGAGATTCGAGTCGTGGATTGAACCCATCGGAAAAAGATTGGGGTCTGAGCCCGGTTTCACATCTTGCCTTCCCTTGAGCCCCTGATGTACCTTTGTTATCTGCTCGATATACATTATCACTTATACAATATGAAAAGCTGGCTACGTGTTCTAAGATTATGCAAAATAATAATATTCAAGGAGCGATGTCTTTTGGGGGTCAAATGCTGCAAGTTCGACGCTTATCAAGTATCCGCGTGGAGTGTGTTTAGAGTTCCCGAAGCCCGAACTGGGAAATCACCGAGATTGTGCAGAATCGCGCGTCGAGGAACGATAGGTAAAGTGCCGACGAGAGATGAACTTGTTGCCCTATTTCGGAGGAAACATGTCCCAGCAGTCGAGACCCGTTGCGACGGACTCGGGAGATCGTGGGAACGAATCTGGCTGTCGAATAGAAAATGCGTATCTCGCTGAGCCTTTGGATGGCCTACTGGAAATCAAAAAGTCGAAAACCCGTCAAATGAGTAGGCTCGAACGCATGATTTCGCCCGGCGAATCGGGATCGGATGCCGTCGTCGTACTCTTCAGAGAGGTTCATCAGGTCGACTCACTGAAAAGTCTTCCAAGACATGCGCTATGCAAAGTGAGCGGTCTGTATCGGTCCGAGCGGTCTCCATCGTGACCTCAGCCGAAGACGGAGACACAATAGCAACGAATTTGTTATCACGGGAGAGTCAGTGAGCTTGTGCGTGAACTATTCGTAGCGTGACTTCTGCAGAGCTACAAGCTCACGCTCTAGCGGGACAAAGAGCGGCATTCCGCCTCCGACGCGAGATTGATCTGGATAATGACTTGGTATGTCATGACCACGGACGCTTCATGAAATACTCATACAATTAGGTATTCGAAGAACGCACCGAACTGAATGTTCCGGTGGGTGGACAAGTGCCGAGTGACGAAGGAGTGAATCTTATATGCTGAGTGAGAATGTGCGCGTGATTGTGAGAAACCCCAACTATGTTAGCATTGGAGCGAGGAGCGAGGAGCCTATATTGTTTAGAATGAAGAGATCTGAACGATTAAGTATTGGAAGAGGAGGAACTCTCGAGAGATGCTTACGAACAAATGAGTGCGAGAACAAGGATACCGAGAAGATCAAAATGAAGTGAAGAACAGGAGACATTGAAGGAACGCTAAATGATGCGGCTAAAATTGAATTGGAATACCGGCGATATTCGACATGGAGATCATGGCCATGCGAAGTTTTACAGCGGGTAGAGCATCAGAGCAGAAGGGGTCAGTTTTGTCTCAGAGCTTTGTCTCTCCAAAAAAAACACGATTAGTGGATTGAGACTCATTTGGCTGAGATCTGGAGTTCGAGATGAAGTTGATTTGCCCAAGTGGCTCAATCTACAATGTCAAGTCGTGATTTTGGGACGCGTCTGAATATGGGTCTGAGGAGGGAGTCAACTTAAGCAAGATCGTACGTAGACCTTTAAGGCCCTTCATTGGAGCTTTAGCTGAGACACGTCGAATGAATTGAACTTCATGGGCGTACAGCTGAGATCTAAGCAAATTATTGTCCAGGAAGCAAGAAAATTATGTGGAGGATCGGGGAACATGGAGTTTGCGTGCTCTTGTTCCCGTCGAATAATTCCTGGAATATCCGGGACCACAGCGAATTCAGGGTGGTCGCTCTCCCTGCGTAACATTTCGGAGGTGTGGACTGTGAGGCGAAATTTAGAAGGAAGAAATTTAATAAAATAAATAAAAGCTAGTCTATTGCATCAAAAGGCTACCCGCGTTCTTATATCTTCGCATCAGGCACTTCGGGATCCTTGGTGTCTCTCAGCACTGTCCCCCTCTAGGGCCATGATGCTTACTCGCCTCGAAAATACAATCGTATTTGGACTTTCGCTCTCTGCAGAAATCAGCTCACTGGTGAATCACCGCCTCAGAACGGGGGGCTAATGGCTCAGACGGAACGTTTGTCGATATGCGAAAGATACGGATGTCATTAGACATGATAACTCTGAAGTGACCTGTCTCATCCTCATCCTCTACGTTATCTATGATACGGTTATTTTTATACCTCGCTGAGGGCCCGAACCCTCGCGGATATCAAGCCTTGTAAGCTCTCCCGATGGGGTCTTGCGCCCTGGGGAGGAATCTCTAAGCATTATTGGTTGGCCATGTTCTGCAGACTGCAGAGGTTCTCGATACCGGCCGGCAGACAACGGGTCACGCCGAGATTCCCGATGTGAGGTGCCGGTGGGGACCGAGAAGAATATCCCCACTCGTCGTAGTCGTAAAATGGCACCACACGAAACCACAAAGATCTTGGAAGCAGCTCCGGACGCGAAGGTCGGGTACAGTGGCTCGATGATGGAGCGAGCTCCTCAATCAAGAAAGAAAATCCCGAGCCCGAATCCCATCGATTCCCGTCGGCAAAGCTCATTATGGAGATGCGTATTTTCTTGAAATAGGGGCATACTTCCTTGACAACACCAACAAATTTATTGCCCAGCGCCTAATCAGAAGTGGATTTGAGGGAGAAGCGATTGAGCGACAGGGTTGCACACTCAGGTCGACGGAAGCTTCGGAGATGGAGAGGCGATGCTCACCTTCCCGATTCGAGGGCGCGCAGAATTGGAGGAAGCATGCGACGTTCGCAGTGTTTGACATTGTTGGGGCAATGTGATCTGCGCTAAGGGTCAGTAATTGGCGCTTGTGCTCAGATGACAGTAATTCATGTGTTTGAAAAACTGCTCCCCGTCAGTCTGGAATTCGGTTGTGACGTCCAGATAAACGGACGGTGTTTACGACGACGAAAGACCTACTGCTGCCCGATTGAAAACGGTGAAGACCAAGAGCCACCGAATTCTGGACCGCATCATGCTCGATGTTGAGTGGCTAGCGATGCGGGCAATGGGTGAAAACACCACCTCAGGGCAGCCCTTTCAGCACGACCATTCCGCCAGGTCACCAGACATATAGGGCACTCAAGCTCACTGCACACCGCTCCGAATCAGCCCGATCCTTCAGGTCCACGGGGGAAGACGCCGTCGACCATGGACCAGGCAGTGAAGTCGAGTCCACGAAGTCCGGACTCCCGAAAACCTCACCTCACCATGCTGGTGGGTGAGGGAAGCCGGATCGGCATCATCCGGGCTCATTCCTCTTGCTTTTTCAGTTCAGGGAGGACGTCGGATATTCTCTGGAGAATCCGAGGCCAAGGGGATCCTCGCTGAAGTTATCGGCTGACTCGATATCGGGAGAGTCTACCGTGACTGATGAAAGGAAAGTCGTTCCACAGGATGTAATTCGGAGAGGTTCAAGGAGATTCCAATCAGCAAGTTTCCGCAAGTTAGCCCGGCCTGGATAAGAGGCAATGATGAATATTTCCTTCCGGTCCGGAGCCTGGAATAGGCTTGCGCACCTCACGAAATCTTCTGGAAATCTCCGGGGCCTGCTGGGGCTTCATCGTATTCCGTGGGATTGAGATTCCCTAGCTTTGGATTCCTGACTCATGAATATCACGTTCACCTCGTGCTCCAGCGACCAGATTCCCGATTAGCATCGCCTCAGTCCCAGGTGACTCACCAATGAGTCACATGTCTTTCGCACATGATTGCTAGGGCTCGTTCCCTCAAGGCCCTAACTTCAGAATCGAGTCAGTCCCGAATTCGAAGAGAGCGAATGTCGGGCAGCTCCCGGAGACTCCAGGACGTCCCGCAAACTTTTTCCACCGATTCGCGGAAGAGAGCTCCTCGACTGTCAGTTGGAGGGTGATAAGCAAAACCTCAGGTTTACGGATATGAGCTCAGGATACAGATGGATTCCAGTGGATTTCCGCGGACAGCTCCGGGCACGTCACGGAGTCGACCATGAATAAGTCGTTCATCGATAGTCCTTCAGCTTGTTCATCGGTCGGGAGAGTATCCTGCATGTCGAACTTCACTGAAATCCAGAACACCGATTCAGTGCTCAAGAGAATCACTCCCGCGGTCTCATGAGGCGACGTGGCCGCGATGATGAAATTATTTTTTCGTAAAGTGCATTCGACGCTCGCAAGATCGAGCAGACTTGACATCTTCCCGAAAGCCTTCTAGAAACGAGATATCTCACTCGAGGAGAATTCACGGCATCTTTTTGAACATCTCAAGCCATCGGCTTGTCTTGACTAGCTGGCTGACAGCTTTGAAGTGACGTTGTAGTCTGTTCGGTGGGTTTCGGCTCAACGATGTCCATCTGTAGCGCGCGTGCGTATTTCGTGGGCAAGCCACAAGCTAGTTCACAATGGGTGTGCCCTAAAAGAGTTTGGAGCGACGGCATTCAAGATACGGCTCGATATCAAATCCATATTTATCATGGCTCTGCAAACACACTCCCAACGTAATGGATCCCAGGGAAGGATCCGCGCGTCTCCGTGGAAGCGCGTCCGCGCATTCTTCTAGGTCTTGCGACGGCGGTGGTGGCAGCAACAGCATCATCAGCACTAGCACGCGATACAGGAAGCACTTCTCCAAGAGCGCTTTGTCATTCGAGGGGCAGCTGCTGGTTTGTCGAACACAGAGAGGTATGCAAGCTCCAAATCGAGGATAAGGAGCCCGAGATCCGCAAAACCATTCCGGAGCCCTAATCTACCTACATTGTACATCCGCAAGGAACCAATCGGAACAAATTATTCTGAGAAACGAATGTGTCGAATCTTGCGCGAAATGACCAGGCGCTCGGTTTGCAATCCCTCCGTGGGATTCCGGCTCCCAGCCCGTGCAACGCACGTCGACTGCGTGTGTCCGTGCAACGGTCCGCACCACTCCCCTGCGGTAATTTCCACATCACCCCACCCACGGCCTGGCGATTTTGCTGGTTCGCCTGATTTCAGTGCTCCCGATCTCTTTTTTTTGGGTTTTCCACTCCTCGTCGTCTTCTCGGCGTAATTCTCTTCGCTGCCCTCAATCTCGGGTCAGTATTTAGTTTATTCGATAATTTGGCGCCTGAATTCTGGTGGTACCGGGTAATTTATGGAGCTGACACACAGACTTATGTCTTCTGCGAATTATCTGCCTCTGGGGAAAATGGACAAGACTGATGCCGAAGTGAAATTTCAGACGGTCTTATGTTCCGCACAGTTTTATGGCAGCGTCGGCATCATTGGCAGCGACGGCACCATGGGACCTGCGGTGGCTTGACGTCGCCGTGACAGACGTCGCTGCGCGTTGCTTCATGCTTGCAGCATGCACTGGTGAGTATCAGAATGACAGCGCTGGAGTCTGCGGCAGTAGTCCCGGGATTCGATTTTCTTGCTCTTGAAGAACCCCGGGCGTGACCCATCGAGACCATTGATTTTATTGTTGTCATTCCTCGAGAGAAATCAACACACGGAGTGTCGGAGCCATCCTCAAGTAATTGATTTCGAATTGTAAATCTATTTGACTGATTGTGGGACCGTTGTAAAAAACGTACGCTCGGACCTGCATCACGCCATTGGTTCCTATCAGACATTCCGTTTTATGATTCGTCGCTCCACGCGGTATTCGATAATTCGATAAGATAGTTCGGTCCTCTGCTTATCGTTGAGTTCTAGAGATCCGGATCCCTTCGACTTTACAGAGTTTTTTTCGAATCCCTCTCGATAAAGCGTCTTCCAGTTGAGATATCCGAATAAGTCCCGGATATCACGACGAACTAGAATCACAATCATGCCGACTACAACGGGTCCAACAGAAATAATCTCTCCCGAGCCTTATTAGTGCTCTGCGTCAAGAGACCCAAGCACCTGAGAACAGAGAATCGGGAACCCAAGGGGTCGCTCTTATTCCTCTAAGCATCAGGGCGAGAATCTATTCCGGCATTCGCTCCGGATGTGACCGACGGCTGCAGGTGCTCGAGCCCCGTTATGTCGGCAGACGAGAGAATATGGGAAATGCGAAAAAAACAAAGCCAAGGTAGGGAACGTTAGCTGAGTATTCAATCAATAAGTAGGCAAATCAGGTCAAGATCATGTCTTTGTTCAGGCTGGAACAAAGGTCCATAGGCCGGAGTTAGGTCCCGCGCTTCAGCTCCTTTATCGAAGGTCCCAGAATAGACTATCCGTCTGTTGCATGCGTCAGCCGCCAGGTAGCGCTACGGTCGCTGCTTCTCACTTTCTCAAAATACTCCCCACTGCCATCCGGAGGTCCATGTTATTTTGACTGCCAGTTGGAACGTCTGTTTCGGCGAAGCTTGCCGTCAGCCGGTTTTTGAATTGACAGTGCTTGTGCGCGAATAAGCGACCCTTGACAGCTGCTCTGGAATACGTGTAACTGTATGGCATAGACACCGAGCGTGGAAAAGAGCTTTTTTCTTCGCTGGCTCCGGATTAAATCGTGATTGTTTGAAGCAAGGCGTCGATGTCAACTGTGGTATGATGTGCAACGTCGTCCTCCGGGACAGCAGGATGGTTTCTGGAAGGTGACAAATCCTGCGGGGCAATGGCCCAGAGTCCAGATTAGCGACACGTTCCCGATCGTGCTCCTCACCACGATCCGAGCGTTGCGCGCACTCTCTCTCTCTGTCTGAACTCTACGAGCTCAGAGGCGAGGCGTTCATTGTGGTAGTCTGCTCTCAGTAGAAAGAGTATCGCTTTTCTCGCTCTGAAGAAGGAAGAAGTGCGCTCACCGGAACAATAACATTCACCAACCACCTGTACATATTATTTATCGAGTCCATACCGAGAGGGAGTGTGTTCATCTTGTGTTGACATATGCCGTCTCCATCGGCGCTGGAACGGGTGCAGGTTGCTCGTGTCTCTCTGGAGTAAGTCACCCGGAATCTGGAACGAACCCCACTCGAAACATCCGTGAAAATGGGTATGCCCGCCGAACAGAAAAGCCCCACCATAGCCGAGGGCTATGTGTCGTTGTTCGAAATCCTCGACGCTTTCGGCGCACCCATGAGCGAAGAGCACGCATGGGCTCTGGCGTTCCAAGCGTGCAAAACCTTGCAAAGACTGTGGGCTGATCGAGAACTTAAAAACTATGCCAGTGAAGGCGTGCTCGCTAAGCGTCACGCATCGGGTGTGTATCTTGTGGAGAACCTTAAGGATGTCAGGATATGTCAGGACGGTACGGTTCACACTAGCACAGCCGACGCACACGGTAAGTTGACAACTAGGGAACTATAACTTAGTCTCCGAACCGAGAAGAAAAGCTTTGAAAAATTTCAAAAGGAGTTTGTTGCGCATCAACAATGGGGTCGAAACTAAAGAACGGAGATGGCGGAAACCATCATAATCGAAGCCGATTTAACATTTGTTGGGATCGGACGAAACTCTATTCTGATCAGGGTCAATGCAGGACCGTGTCGAGCTATTCGACTCTGGAGATGCGAGTGTTGGTTTCGGCCATGAGGGGGTCTTCGAGCAACCTCAAAACAGAGGGTGCGCCTGCGACACCCTTGAGCGCAAACCCCGAGCTATACTTTGGCGCCCGCCGACATGATCATGAATAGCAACAAATCGAGCGTCGCTAGTTGGTTCAGTCCATTTTGAGGCTTTAGAGTGAGTCTGTCTAATGTTAGGAGTGTCTGATGTCTCTTTGGTCGTCTTGGACACCAGGTCGAAACGGGTAGTGGTTTACCGCTGGCTCCCCGGTGACTCACACGCTTGGCCTCGGCGCTTCATTATAGAGTCAGCCATGCCGGCCGCCGTTCATTCATCCAATGTTTGGGTTGAAATCCCGACGCGGAGTCCGAGACTAGAATCACGACCCGTACTACAACTACAGTGAAGAATCGCGGGATGCTATTTCAGCTTCCGAGAATAATTTCTAGCGATCCGTCTAATCAGGAGGCAGATGCCTCTCTCGATTCTATTTATCCTCGTTTTGTACTGGATAGGGATTCTCAAAGGTATTTATTCTCGATTCTCACCACATCGAAGATCACATTTCCGCTCCTCGATCGACTGGGAAAACGGACACCTTGCGATCACATCAGGGTGGAATCTCTTCGTTGTTCCGCCGATAGCTTTGAATTGTTATCGGTTATGTACCCTGATTAGATAAAGCGGATTTGAGGATGCTCTGCAGCCCCTGTCATTCGCGTAATGATCGTGACCTTCGATGTGATCCCATTTTTCTCCGATTCTTCAACTCATCCGGATATCCGGCATAGACTCTGGGGGATGACTAATCCGAATTGAGAAACCCAGGTCGAGCTCGGTGATTCGGAGGCGTCTCTTTTTTTCGCAATACGGGTCGCAAGTATTATTTCGAAAAGGATTCTAGCGGCGCGACGTCTTAACGGCGAAGCATGAGGTGAAGCAAAGTTTGCTCGAATCGCTTCGAGAAACTTCACCCGATGAACCAGCTGCTCGCCGAGAATCCAACCGAATGCTTGGTCATCGAGCTATCAGATCAATCGATCTGATTGCTCGCTCCCCGGCCGATTCATTTTGTTCCGCAGCGAAACGAGAATTCCGGCGGAAGATACTTCATGACAAGGGGTCATCTTCTTCTCTTTCAGTGCTGAGTGAGTCGAGGCAAGATGTCTCTTCGTCAAGACATCATCTGACTCTGACTTGTTCTTTGACCGACCGGCTCCTCGGTTTTCTGCTCCTTATTATTGCATTAGTTGGAGAAGAAGAAAATCATCCGGTGCTCTTGCACTTTGCTCGGAATCCTGCCGGCGATGCGAGCTGGTGGATGCTCGACCGACTGCCTCGTCTTCTCGCTGCTCGGATAGCTGGGTGGTTGACTTTGATGCGGGCACCTCGAAGAATCCGGATGGACTTACCTCCGACTGGGAGAATGGCATCACGCGAACGCCGAGCTCAGGGTTCTGGCGTCACGTTCCTGACGGCTCTTTGTCTCAAAGAAACCTGTGGAGTAATTTTCTCCAGTCGTCCGACTTCAGATCGTTTGCGTAGAAAGAGATCAGCGACTGAGGAGCGACAGATCTGCCCAGATTCGTCCACAGATCCGTGTGAGAAGTTCCAACCGGCTACTGCGAAATTTCTAGAAGGAGGGAATCTCCTAACGAGCGCCGGAATTAGGCGCTGACGATTCGCGAAGGGTGGAATATCTAAGCGTAGGTCCTGTGCAAACACCTTGGGCTAGGTCACGGTTTTTTGGGCAGCGGATTCAACAATGGGTGGGTGGATCAATGCGTCAGATCCGATACGGCAGGGTCGGGAGTCGGCATCGTTCGTAAGATGATTGCTCATCGACACTCTTTTCCCCGAATGAGGCGTTTAATCCAACTCACGGTGTGTTGGAGTTTCGATTGCGGCTCTCGGATCGACAACCCTGTTGTTCAGATTACTTAGACCTTGTTTTCCATATTCGGTCGTCGACGGTCGTATGGATATCGCCGCTGGAGTATGAGTTCGAATTCGTGTCTCGCGGTTGATGCGGTCACTGAGCTACATCGTGAAACGGTACGGTTTCCTAGTTCCCCATTCCTTTGTGCAGCAAGAGAAGCTTAAGTCAGAACCTCCGATCCGACAATGGCGATATCAATAATTCAGAGGAGTCGATGTCAGTAGTCCAAAAGTGCATTATTTCGAGTGAGAAATGAATTACTGACCCTCCTGATTTGGAGAAAATCGCCAAATTATGTTAAGTAAAACGGCGGATTTCGGGGAACCGTTACCGAAATTCATTGGATCAAAGTACACGCAGCTGAACCCCAAAAGCCGTGGCCGAAATTTACCGGATAATTCGGACCCGAAATCCAATAGATTTACCATTTCACCGGCTGATGGACATTTCCAATCACTGAACAGCAGTGTATGTGTGTTAGATTGTGTAATGCAGCCGGGAAGCCACGGGACACGACCGGAACAATTATTTATTCACACTTCTATCAAACATTGTAAACTGGCTCAGCTTGATTCTCAAATTCTTCTCACGGCGAGGGGGAATTTCCCCTGTCAATTCTATCGTTCGGCCGAATAGCCTCCCACGTGTGTTCTCTTTTCATCTCGACCGAGGTGGTGACCTCGCCAAGCTCACACGAATGATGAAAGTGATTACGCTGGAGCTCGGAGATTATTAGCTAACAATAAGTGCGTGACAATATTATTGTCTGAATAAATTTCTTTGGTGAAATGTACGTCCGATCACCCTAGACATCGGCTGATCAAACGGTCCGCATTTGCCGACACGCCGTGAATGCGATGGAGGGGTTCGAGGAAGGAAACCCCCCGATCTGGTTCTCCTCGTTTCTGAACAACGAGGAGAACCTCGGAACTCAGCCGGCTCAGGCTAGGCCTTTAAGAAAAGAGCGATGCCGAATGAGACGCCTTGATCGAGTCGCTGGGATGAACTTGGGTTCCGAGTCCGCTCACGCCATTGTATACAGATTTTGCGGGCTCGTTCACCGCGTCGCTGATGATTAACGCGTGCTTTTTCCAATGAGTAGCCCATCCGTTCGCATTGTTTGCAGAATTCGAAGGAAGTAGAGGGGGATATTCCTTCCCACTCTCGCTTGTCCATTCTTCTTCTATTCTAGAGAGGGATTTTCCGGCAATCGATTCAATTTCGCTGGTCGCTGCCTCAGCAGCTGTCGAATGCGCTACTCGATGGTGGAGGGGGCGCATACCTGGAACGAACGAAAGTTAATTTCCTTTCGGAGCCAAAAACGCATTACGGAAGTATGGGATGTTATGTAATGTCCAAAATGCACCTTGGTAATCACTGACCGTCGATTATGCCGGTCAAGTATAAACAAGCACAGCAAATTTTTTTCGGGAGCCAAGACACCGCCACGGCTACAAACGATACCGTCGTTGTGTTCTTCGTTTCCCCCTGATCATCGTTATTGCGATGCTTCCTTTCCTTCCGAGGGATGAATCGATCGATGGGTCGGTCGGTCGCTTGCTCGCTCCGATGGTCAGACGCATAGGCTCGCTGATGTGGGGTTCGCTCGATTCATGTTCACAGTCGTATTCCTAGAAGAGATGACTTCCCTCATGATGGGTTTTGGGTTTAAGTTCGGCTGGACTTAGAACAATGTCTGAATTCTTGCTGCTCCGGAGACAAGCACTGCAGTTAACGCGTGCTCTGGCTATTTGTGTCTCTAGTCGACGCTCGAAGGTCAGGAAAGCTGGTCCAGTGAGTTTGGACGGGGCCGAGCAACGCCCCCGAAAGTGGGGCAACTTCCCCACTACCACCGTGACTATGACCACAAGCGCTCGCGCTCCGATCATACGTTGTTCTCAGCGTGGACGCGGTGGTCATTGACAAATATTTGAGAAAGACCGATCCTTGGCCAAACATCAGATAGCGGACCGCCTCAATTCCGGCACAGTGTATCGTATGCTTTAAGCTTCGGCTTAAGTTCTGAAAGGAAGTGCGACGGGCTCCTTCCGTCGCCGGTCCGATTACGTCTGACGTGGGACGTACAGACGGAAAAACATACGAGCAGACGGATGGATAGACACTTTCAGTGTCATCTGTTAGTCTTAGATTGAAAATAATCTGATCCCGCGGCCAGCTGAGTGAATCTACCGGGTGGAAAACCCCCTGAACCGTCGCGGTCCTCCATCTTCTTCCTTCTACTCCTATCACGCTGCCACTCGCTCCTCTTCGGCTGTCCTATGCTTCTCGGTATCCTTCCCAGGAAATATACGGTTTAGCCGAATGTCATAATTGAGCGAGGACTATTGAATGGGATCGGGAAGAATTCCTCAGAATGAAGATAGCGCTCGTGACTCACCATCCTTGCCCAGATCTCGTTCCTCTCACGTTTCGATCGAATATAAGATTCGATGGAAACGGGAGGGAAGGAAACTAGCTCCTACGCGTAGTCGTGCATGTCCTACTAATTGAGAGCGACGGCTGAATCTGCTTGAAAAACGAGCGCCTCGGGTCCAGGAAAATTCGTGGAATTTTGCTCCCTGAATTTCGCTGGTATTCTTTTCCAAAGAAGTCGGCTCAGAAGTTACTCGGGTCACGTTGTCATTTTTCAAGCACTTTATATACTGGGTCTGATCGCCTTGGCTATCTTGGTTCGATTCTCGAACGAGACTTCAGAGCCGAATGGTTCCTCTTGAACAATTGTCGAAAGAACCAGGGATCCTGTCCCTTCGAGCTGCTCCCGTGGGTCTCCCGGGGGCGACGCTATGCTAACTTGTCGCTCCCCACGGAGGGTCAGC